TGCCCTCACTTTAACTTCAGACACCTCTCGAAGTTGGCAACTGAGTTGACGTAATTCAGCCACTCTTACGATAAGACTCTGGGTTTGGTTTTTGGCAATATCACCTCTGTTACTACAAGAAATAAGGCTTTCTTTCAAGGCACAAATGGAAACTTTGTGGTTGTTTATGTGGCACTTGAGCTTTGACTCTGAAGCCCTGAGCTGATCTCTTTCTTTCACTAGTTTGTCTAGTGAAAGTGGGACCAACCAACCAGCTTCCTTATACTTCTCCTTATGACAAAATTGTAGAAAGGTATCACACATGCAATCATCCACAGCCTTGCCTTTCACCAATGTCTGATCTATTGGTGGTGATATTTTGCGTATTTGTATTGTCACCTCATACCATGGATTAGCAGTGCCCTCTTTACTACTGGAAGCAGGGTTATCAACATCTTTAAGACTAACTAGATTTGAGAACCTATTTAGAAAACTCATTCTTACAATTTTGTTTCTCTAGACACTACTCTTGGTACTAAATGTCTTAGGCTGGTTTCTCTAGAGAAGTAAAACCAGTAAAGCATATAAATATATATATAGAGAGACATTTATATCAAGGAAATGGCTCACTCGGTTGTAGAGACCGGAACATCCCAAGTCTGTGGGTCAGGATAGAGGCTTCTTCTGACTCATGTAGCTGCAGGGACTGGTGAACCCAAGATTGGCAGATCAGAGAGCAGGGCTCTTGTTCACAGGCTGTGAAGATTGACAAATTCTAAGACTGGCAGGCAAGACCCTAGGTAAACTGCTAGCTCAAGTCCCAAGAACTGGAGGTCAGACAAACAGGAGCCAGCTGCAGGATCCAGAACGAGCAAAAGCGCATGAATCATGCCAGAATATCCACTGACATTTGATGCAGGCTACATGCCCAAGGAAACTTCCTTTCAACTTATTGGCTACTCAGAGCAGATCTCATCATGGAGGTGATCACATTATATCAAATCTCATCATGGAAGTGATCACAACATCATAGGACTGCCAAGACACTGAGAATCATAGCCCAGCCAAGTTGACCCACAACCTTAACCACCACAATTAGCAAGAACTGGCCATGATAAGATTTTGAATTTCTGAGTGTTATGGACGTGTTCCCCAAAAATGTGTATCAACTTGGCTAGGCCATGATCCCTAATATTGTGTGGTTGTCCACCATTTTGAGATCTGATGTGATTATCCTGTGTGTTGTAAATCCTAACCTCTGTGATGTTAATGACGCAGGATTAGAGGCAGTTACGTTGATTAGGTGGGACTCAATCTACAGGAGTCTATCTCTTTTCAGATATAAAAGAGAGAATCCAGCAGAGAGGAGAGGGACCTCATGCCACCAAGAAAGAAGCGCCGGGAGTGGAACATATCCTTTAGACTGGGGTCCCTGTGCTGAGAAGCTCCTAGACCAGGGGAAGAGTGATGACAAGGACCTTCCCCCAGAACCGACAGAGAGAAAGCCTTCCCCTAGAGCTGGCACCCTGAATTTGGACTTCTAGCCTCCTAGACTGTGAGTGAATAAATTTCTCTTTGTTAAAGGCATCCACTTGTGGTACTTCTGTTACAGCAGCACTAGCTAAGACACTAAGTGCAGTGGATTAACTACTTTTGTGTGTGGCCTTTCTAGCCATGGTCTTGTAACTCCCACCCAGGTGATTATGTGATAGGGTAATTGTAGCCTACCAAGGGGATTGGTCAGTTTTGCCTTAAAAGAGAGCCAATTCCAGAGCAGAGAGGAGGATCCTACCACCACCAAGGAAGAACAGTCAGGAGTGTAGAGTGTGTCCTTTGGACCTGTGATCCCTGAGTTGAGAAGCTCCTGGAAGTGGGAGTCTGAGAGAAAGAGAGCAAGCTGTGACCCTGAAGATGGCGAGAAGCGGTGGCAGCAGACCTGGCAGCAGAGACCTGGCAGCAGGAGACGGTGTGGTGGCTTTCCTGGCTCAAGGAGAGAGAAAGCTGAGTGCCTTTGGGGAGAGGCCTAGGGCCAGGGAGAGGCGTGCCTGGGAGCATGGTTGGGAAGAGGCTGTCCTGATCGAAGAATCGAAGAACTGTATCCTGAGTGTTCCTGAGCCTGAATTGTAACTGTTACTTCCCTAATTTACCCTATAATCGTAAGTATGGTCTGAGTTCTGTGTGGCCATTGCAATGAATTATCGAATCCAGCAGAGAAGTAGAGGGTTGTGCCAGGGACAGTTGGTGTCATAATTAGTAAAGATGGCGGAGAGAGGGGCTTGTCTGGCCTCCACCTCGTGGGAGTCAGCCTTGCGCTATTGATCTTCGTTCTCCTTTCCCCTTAAGAGGTCAGACACCGCCCCCATGTCGTATTTACACTAAGCATTAGTAATTTTGCCATACTAAATAAGATCAAGTAGTTGAGACCGAACACTCCACATCTCAAGTGGATTTTAGGAGAAATCAGCCAACCATAAACCTCTGTTTATGACCCAATAGTCTTGAAAGAAATGGATAAATAAGGACTAGGCCCTGCTTAGGTAGAAAGGGAACACTAGAGGAGGCTGAGCCCCACCCCTGGAATTGTTGTGGACTCAACTGCTAAAAGTGAAACTGGGCCAGTAGTTAGGTGAAACGACTCCCCAAAAGTGTCACTACTAATACATCCAATTCCAACCACATCTGTATCAGTAACACCCAGACTGAAGCTAGGGATGGGAAAAGAGGGAGAAACACACAGCCACTACTTTACCTTTTGAGTAGGCATTCCTTTTTTCAATATCTGGAATTGAGTCAAGTCGATTAATTCATGTTTCTGTCTTCTATAAACATAGAAAAACTAGCATTTCAATTCATGTATTAAGAAGTATCTACAAAAAGCTCCAACTCTCAGAAAGGGAAATATACTCTCTGCCCCCAGATTAATCTTTAAAATCAGTTCCCAGCTTTTTAAATATATAGAAAACAAAAAATAAACCAAAATGTTGGCATATCCCTTTATGTTTATCTGCATTGTCCTAGTTTTCTAATTAAATGCATTTTTGTAACCATGAAAACACTAGTCATTTTATATTACTATACATGTATTTAAAAATAGTGCACAGTCAAAACAACTGGAAGGGGGAAAAAAAGAAGCAAAATAACGAGGCACTGCCTCTCCGTCCATACTTGGAAATGTGCAGCTGTGTAGTGGTGACCAAAAATGGTGTCCAGGAGGGAGATACCAACCTGAGATTTCTTCTGCCTGTTACTCCAGGTGGGATGGATTCTACCCGCCTGGAGTATAAATTTCATTACCAGCCTTGCAATCCTGCGTTTGGCTTAGTACTCTTGCATTTCTTTTTCGGGTATCCTCCCCAGTTTTGAGTAGCATTTCAGTGTCCAAAGTCTTGTGAAAGGGAGAGAGGACCATTTGCCTTTGTGAGCCCTGATACCCCCTTTTCCATGCTCAGTAGAAATGTCAGTGGGGATCTGATCTTCTAAAGCAGGAAATTTTCTCTCTGGACTGGAGTCTGGACCTGATCACCAGGCCACAACAGGAGACTGTCCTTCTGGTATGAACCCCTTCATAAATGTGTAAACACCCTAACGTTTTTAGAGCAGGGTGGTTTAGTCGTGATGTCTCACACGGATTCACTTCCCCCGTATAAACTACATAGCTGGTATGCGAGCAAAATTTTGTTGGTCTTCTCCCAGTGCCTGTTATCATCTAGCCATCAAGAGACTCTAAATCAGTGGTCCTTTAACAACTGCACATCATAATCAACATGGGCACTTGTTGAAAAAAAATTCCCCAACACTTCCAGAACCCAATAATCCCCATTTTAACTATTCTTTACCCTATGAGTATCCCAATAAAATAAGGATTTATACAGTCTGTCCCTCGGTATCTGTGGGGGATTTGTTCCAGGACCACCCCCTACCAAAATCCAGGGATCCTCAAGTCCCTTATGTAGAGTGGCATATTTGCATATAACCTATGCACATCCTTCCATACACTTCAAATCATCTCTAGATTACTTGTAATACCTAATACGATGCAAAATGCTATGTAAATAGTTGTTTCATCACAATTGAAGACTTGCTCTGGAAGGCAGCCTTGCTCTTCTGTGAGCTCCTTGAGCTCTTCTGGGAACACTGATGCTGCCTGGGCATCAACCAATGCTGATTCTCCTGTGATCCTGAAGTTCTTGAAGCCGTAACGCTTTCCATAGCTAGCCAGCCATCCCTTAGTAGCCTGAAATTCCTTCCTCTCGCTCTCCTCAATCCCTCTCCACACTTAGCCTTTGAGGGACTGCTTTCACCACTTCATTGCTTTTTAGGATCCATTTTTTCACAGAAACAAAGGGTGCACACAAGTAGAGAACAGACAAGACACCAGGCGAACAATGCTCAAACAACAAGGGCTGGAGAGAGACTGAGGATCTGTGAAACAACAGGATGCTACAGCAGGGTATGCCTACACATCACTTCATTCATGTGGATTCAGTGTAGTGCTCAGTGCGCAGCAAACTCAAGTTTTGTTTTGGAACTTGTTTTCCCGAGTACTTTCGATCCACGGTTAGGTGAATCTGCGGATGTAAAACCCATGGATACGGAGGGCCAACTTGTATGCAGATTTTATAAAATGAAATGTTAAAATCTGAAAATTAAGATTTGTTGTATATTGATTGTCTGCTATTATCTATGCACCAGCCTCACGTTCTCTGCTCAACAAGCTCAATGAGGAAAAACACAAACATTTTTCTCTCTCTCAAGACAGTGCCTGCCTTTCAAGGTCCAGGCACTTCTTGCTTCTTAATGCATGTATTAATAAATCACACACACACATACATCCCTTCACAAAATCTAAATATGTTGCTGATGTCAAGAATGGTTCTCAAAAGCCTTTATTTCCATGATTTCATTCAAATAAAAAACTAAATATATATATATATAAAGAAAAATAACAAAAAAACAAAGACCCCATCAGCTTTATTAGCTGCAATGATGCATTATTTATAACTTGTAATTATAACAAAAGCTTTAATTTTGAAAAATGTTTTATTCAAGAATTACATCATTTGAAATATCTTCCAAAATACAGTTTCCTAGACTGCTACAAAAGAAAGCAAATTCAATTAAGAAATTTAAGTCATTAAATATGTTTCACTAATATATACATACAGAAAGCCAAGCAATTAATATTTAGCCCTGGAATGCATACCATGTCTTTTCTTCTTCCTCATTAAAGGCTCAATCCAGCACTGTGTATAGGCTATGTACAACAGGCAAAGTTCCGTGTTCACAAGTCTGACATCAGCTGCCTCAATTCACAGCTGTGGTAGTTTGTCAACAGGGGTATCAAATTTGAAGTCTGTAGGAAACAGATCTGGGGCTCGAGGATAGATTAGTCTGTAGGACTGTCTGATTGTAACATCAGCAACACCAGCAATATCTCCAATTTCTAAAAGACAAAAGCAAAAATATTAGCATAACTTCTTCTATCCTTCCTCCCTTCTACCTCCTGCATTCCAATTTGTGACAAATACGGTAGTATAAAATGCCAAAGTGAAAAAAAGAGCAAAAATACTGATTTTAAGAAACTGACGATGGAAATGCACACCAAAAATTAGAAAGCAGGCGCTAAAGTTAGTAACAATGTTAGTAGTGCTTATTACCTCAAAGGGTTGTCATGAGTATTAAATGATTTAATATATATAAAACATCTGTACAGAGCTTAGGACACAGCACTATGAGTGATAACTATTATATTGGTCATTGTATTTAGAACTGACTGCTCCTTTTTCTTTATAAATCTTTTTGAGGCTCACAGAAGTAATCCATGAACACATTCTTGTAAAGAACCCACTTAATACTTCTGTGTTTGAATGTTTCCTGCAATATCTTCCCCATAGCTAACCTCTGTTAAAAACAAAATGGAATCATACCATAAATATTGCTCAACAACCTCTTTTTTTTACTTAATGTATCTGGGATCAAAGAGCTATATATCATAATAGATGTTTTTCACTATTATACAACATACCTGAGCATATATATTGCACTCACATGGGTATTTCTAAAGTCTATTATAAAATCCTAGGAGTGGATCTACTTTTCCCCTTTAAAGTCATTAAATATCACAGTTTTTTCTTTTAGAATTGTTAACGGAAATCTCAAAAGGACTTCCACTAACAATATTTGGTTAGGTATTATAAATACCTAACCAAAATGAATTTTTAAAAACACATCCTTTAATGCAAACTCTTTTTACTACCTCTTCAGTCAGTTCAAATCAGTAAGGTTTTACTGATTTCTGGTGTGGATGCCTGCCTTCAGTGTGCAATTAGCTCATGTTAAATTTACTTAACCTCATCTTGCATCACAATATTCTAGATACAGACACTGATGAGTATCAACTATTCAAATGTCAACTGGCTGCTGGGCAGGGGAGAAAGGGCCTTAAATTTCAAGAAAATTCTCCATGAACACTCAAGACAAGAAAGCTCCAAGATAAATGCTTAGTGTGATTGTTAAGAGTAAATTTTACAACTAGGAATGAAGGTTAAGGACAATCTACCTGGCTGTAACTTCTCAATATTGTCAGAAGACTCAAATTTTCCTTTAAAAATATAGTGGGGGGGGGGGGGAAGAGGTGGAGGCCAAAGGGAATGGATAATGGCACGTTTAAACAACTAATAGCTAGTTTCCTTTTTCTAATCATTCCTCTATATTATTACTTTTATCAATACAGAAACATACAGCCTCAGCTGAGGTGAAAGGCTGCTCTGAATAGGGTATTATAAAACTACTGCAGCAAGTAATTCACTACCTCATTTTTAAATCGACTGCTTTTTCTTTATAAATCTTTTTGAGGATCACAGAACCAGTCCATGGATATAAGCTTGTGAAGAAATTCACTTTGTACTTCTCTTTAAACATTCCCCCTGCAACACTAAATTTAAAAATGGCTTTAGGATGTTGAACTACTCATAGGCACTTATTTTAGTATTTTCTTAACAAGCTGTGAATACTGCACTAAAGGAGAACAGGCTTATCTGCTTAAAAATTACAGATGGAAATATAATTATAAATATAATCATGTACTACAGCCTTCACAACTTCATTACCACCCTTCTTTACGAAGAATCTTACCTTTTTGGGTCCTCTTCTCAGCTGAAGCCTGTGAGGCCATGTAAATAGCTGCCGCTGCCACAGATATTGGGCTCCTCCCTGGAACCAAGTCCAGTTCCACAGCTTTACGGGCTATATGTGTAGCTGCCATCTGCACTTGTTTAGGAAGACAAAGGTTTGAACAGAACCTGGACATGAAGTCCCCAGTTGTAATCAAATCCACACTGGTTTCTAAAGCTTTCAAAATAAGTTTAAAACATCGACCAATTTCTTTCTTAGAAATTCGTGAGACGGCACATATTTCTAAAAAAAAAAAAATAAATAAATAAAGCAATTAAATGCACATAAGCCATATAGTTTGCTTTTAATGTAATTTTACTGAAATATGACTTAAATCCACAGTTCATTTTTAAATCTACCATTTCTACCAAGTAATACATGTTAATTGCAAAAAATTCAATCATACTTTAAAGATGAAACCATAATCCTCTCAGTGATATTTGCCACAGAGTTAATATAAATCTTTATTACACTTTAAAAAACTTAAAAAAAAAAAAAAAGAGTTAAATTTAGGTCTTAATCTTTCAAAATATTAACTTCTTTGAAGTTTCAATTCATATAAATAAGTTTCTTCAACTAATCAAAAACTTCTTAGATATTTATATATTAATCTGTTGTAATATCAAGGAGATGAAAGAAAATACTCAAGATAAAGAATTCTACTTAAGCTACACAATGTCCCTGCTATTATACGCTATATCTAAATGAGATTAAATATTTGACCGTTATTCTAAAAATTCAACTACTAAACACTTTCAGAATAAATTTAACAAAAGCCTATTTTATCTGTAATAACAAAAAAAGATGATGATAAAGGGCACTACCTCTTCACTTAAACCTAAGAAAATATGTGAAAATAAATATTCATTAGATGAATGAAGAATAATTATGGTCTTAAGCTAAACTGAGGTTTGGCAGTGAAAGTCAACATAATTATCACTGCCACATTGTGTGAACAGGTTGGCACGTATTCACAGGTAACTGGAAATTGGAGGAAAAATGACAGTTTGGTCAAAGCTTCAAACATAGAAGTAAAAATGCAAACCATATACATCAAGAAAAAAAATTTCACTAATGCTTTTTAAGACTTGACTCCCTCACCTGTAGAGACCTGTGCTAGGAGTGAAAACTGTTTTCCCTAAATTAAGTGTACAGATTTACTGCAAGGCCTACTGTGACTTATGATGCCAAGCCTTCAAAGCCCGCAGTCAATCAATCAAAAGATCTTACTAGCAAAAAACTTAAGTGGGCTTACAAGGACTAAAGTATTTACATGAGAAAACAGCCTGGAAAGAGCATGGTTAGGAAGAGTGCAGTATGACTTTGCTGTCAAGGAACAAAATAAGCAGGCATCAGCAAATGATGCTCAGGTGGATTACAGTATGTAACAACGAAGACATGACTAAGTTTCTTAGCGTCAAAACTGCTTGACTTTGGCGTATTACTTTAACACAGTGTAGGTAATGACATTTTTATCTATGCAACTAAACACTTACCTTTAAAAGTCCTAGGAACCCCTTCTTGTCTACAGGCAATATAGAGACAAGCAGAGGCTATGGCGTCATTAGCTCTTCCCTTCAGGCTCTTCTGTTCATACACTTGCTTGAATAAATTATTTGTTCGATCCTTCAAAGCAAAGGAACTTAGTTTAATTAACTCTAGGCCATTTAATTAGTTGCAATATCAAAATTTCATATGTTTATTATATTATGCTAAGTCAATGCCAGAATGGTTTAAAAGAGGTAGACAAGAACTTACAACTATATTTCGAGGGAGGTTGATTCTGTCTGCCATGGTAGTAATTTCCTTGAATGCATTCATCATTGCCCGATCAGAACTACTCATTGTTCTCCGATTTTGGTACTTAGAATTGCCAAATTCATCAAAACTTGCAGCTCCTGTGCCCTATAAAACAAAGTTTTATAACTGTATGCAAAAAAAATTGGAAATGTAACTTGTGAGATCTGACTCCATGTAAAAAAAAAAAACTGTCCAAAAAAATCTACCCTATTTTTTAATTTTTTAAAATGTGTATGAAGTGAATGTAACAATCATACCAAAACCTCACAAAACTGAATGAAAAAAGAAACAGTCCAATTTCATTTATGAGTATGATGCAAAATATTAAATACTGAAAAATATAATCCTACAGTGTATTAAAAATAGTACATAATGAACAAGTGGAGACTTCCATAAATGTAAGAATATCTATTATTAGAAAATCTAGTAATAGAAGCTGTATTAATAGATCTAAGGAGAAAAATCATATGATCATCTATGAAGGTACTAAAAAGGCAAGTGAACAAAGTCAAAATCCATTTTTGACAAAAACTCATAAAACACTATAGACAGGTACTTCTTCACATTAGAAGATCACTCTCCCAGCCCCACAGCCAGCACCATGATTAAGGAGAAACACTAGCAGCATTACCACAAAGTTGGAAGGAAGAGAGAGGCACCTCCTATCACTAGTATTATGTAACATGGTACTGGAAAAACTAGCCAATACAGTTAGATGAGAAAAACACTAGAAGTATAAAGTTGGAAAGGAAGTGGTAAACTGTTTGCAGATAGTATCTTTATATACCTAGAATACCAAGAAAAGCACTGAAAAACTGCTATATATAAATAATAAGAGAATTCACTAAAGTGGCAAGGCAAGATTAACAAACAGAAATCAATAGCTTTCTTATGTACAACCAACCAGTTAGAACACAATGGAAGCAAATACTCCAATAACAATAGCAACAAAAAAGATAAAATATCTAGGAATAAGCTTAAGAAATATGCAAAACCTCCATGAAGAAAACTTTGAAACATCAACTGAAGGACACGTAAGACCTAAGGAAACAGAAAGACATCATGTTTTTGGATAGAAGATTTATCATGAAGAAGTCAATTTTTCCCTATGTCAACTTGCAAATACGTTTACCCAAAATCCCGGTAAAAACACTAAGTTTTCTGTTTTTTAAAAAACTAAATACAGTGATTTTAAAACTTGCATGGAAAAGGCCAGTGAAGAAAATGCTGAAAAAGAAGAGCACTAAGGCGGAGGACCAGTCCTACCAGAATTAAAACAGTGCGATACCGGCATCTGAATAACTAGACCAGGATAAGCACAGGATAGTCCAGAAACATTCCCAAATAGACACAGAATTTACTATATGACATATGTAGTGTCTTAAAAATTTTTTTTCTTTCTTGCCCTATAACCATAAACAACTTTCAAAGGATACAGGAGAAACTAATAATAGTGGTTACCTGTTTTTGGCAGGGGAAAGCGGTGCTGGTGGGAACTGAAAGTTTAGTGGTGAAGGGTGAGGAATATTTATTTACTGTATTCTTTCTACACTTTTGTTTCTGAGTCATGTGTTTCCTACTGAGAACATTAAACATTAAAAAAAAGTCACAGTGCCAATTAGTTGGAATCTAACATTTTAAAATGTCCTTAGTACACTTTTTTCCCAGCCTGTAAGGGCAAAGCAAATGTAGAAATAACCTACTAAAAGATATCTATAGATATAATACTGTAAACTTTTTAACCTAGCCTACCCCATGTTTCTCTAATTTGATATGTAATTATAGAGAAGACAAATTAATGACCTGCTTTTTCATGATACTTTCTTAAAAAACAGACTATGCAGTAGTAAGACTAAGTCCTAAAATAGCATTAGTCCTTCAGAATACTGCCACGACTACTTCTAATTCAGATAGCAAAAAAGTGATAGGTTGCCAGAAGATTATGCTGCTGCCTCACAGAATAATGGCAGCTACCATCTATTGAGCACATACTATATGCTACGTGTTGCAATATAAATATTTTACATACATTCCCATGTAATCCTTAATATCTCTATGAAGTATTATTATTCTCTTTTACAGATGAGGAATGCAAAGCTTAGGTAAGCCATAAATTCACCAATATTAGAAAATAAGCTATATCGAACTCCTATTTATCTTTAGGTGGTATCAAGGAAAAGAGAAGCCATTCCTGACACTGAAGGAACATATCAATATTAACTCATAAAAACTGTACTACACTCAACTATTTTTGTGAAAAATGTACTTCAGTGAAAACAAGGACCTGAGCTATAAAGACCCTGTTAATTTCTATCTGGTGGTCTCTCCTTAAACATGGGAGAAATGCACATGTCAACTATCATTCAAAATTGTGTAACTGTCAAATCTTAGTCACAAGTCAAGATTAACCACTGGGGCAGGAGTTGATACTTCTGCACAGTCTGTAAACTCCCAGAAGACTTTGGTCACTCTGCACTTGGTATTTCTTGGCAAATGGACTTATTACCTTGCCAATCATGGTAGACAAATCTCCATCACTCAGAAGAGGATTCTGAGAATCTCCCACTCGAGATGGGTCTTTTGTTGCTTTGTCATTGCTGAAAGTTCTCCATTCGGATCCCACATCAATAACCCGATCACCTAAAAATATAAGCACAAACCTAAATCATCTTGTCAAGATAGGATTTATTTATTAACACTGTCTAATGTCCAACTCAGCCCTTTGGTTCCAGGAAATCTCCAGAAGGACATCTAGGCCCCAGCTTAAATATCATGTCTCAGCCATTTGTCCTGAAGCGTTTCTTTAGCTATTGTGCCAGTTCAATAATAGCCAGCCATCTTTAAACATTATGCTATGATATGTCACATTCCAACTCTTGGGAGAAAATGAAATTAGTCAAGATAAAGACAAATAGCAAAATAAATCTATACATAAATGATGCAAAGATAAGGCAATATAATGACTCAGAACCAAATTTTGAACAAAATTTGCAACAGGTATGTAGAAAAAGCCAGAAAATACTGTTCAGAATGGTTATTAGTACATATGAGCTTATTTAAAAAAAAAAAAAAATTCCATGGAAAATGCTTTGCAGAAAACTAAGCATAGGCTTATGTTTTAAAATAACTCATTGATTAAAAAAATCATTGGCCAAATAATTTATACAGAATAAACCTTAAGCCTAGAATCAGTAAGAAGAAAGTTAGGTACGCAAACTTTTCTTACTAGGCAAAGAGGCAGATGCTAAATAGGACATGCCAAGAAACCTAAGACCAGTAAAGGAGAATGAAGAGCACCAAAGACACATGGAAAGTATTAGCCCAAGAGACAGAAAGGGCCACATAAGCCAGAAACTTCATCAGCCTGAGACCAGAAGAACTAGATGGTGCCTGGCTACCGCTAATGACCGCCCTGACAGAACACAACAGAGAGTCCTGGATGGAGCAGGAGAAGAGTGGGGTGCAGAACTCAAATTCTAGTAAGACCACCAGACTTAATGGTCTGACTGAGACCGGAGGAACCCCAAAAAGCATGGCCCCTGGATTCTTTATCAGCCCAGAACTAAAACAATTTCTGAGGCCAACTCTTCAAATAGGGATTCGACTGGACTGTGGGACATAAAGTGATACTCAAGAGGAGTGTGCTCTTAGCTCAAGTAGATACAAGAGACTAAATGGGCAGCTTCTGTCCGGAGGTGAGGTGGGAAGGCAGAGAGGGTTAGGAGCTGGCTGAATGGGCATGGGGAATCAGGGGTGGAGAGGAGTGTGCTGTCACAGTATGGGGAGAGCAATTAGAGTCACATAACAATGTATGTATAAATTTTTGTATCGGAAAAAATAAAATAAAAAAGAAACCTAAGACCAAAAGATATGACTGATTACTGCTTAGGGGAAGATGCTTAATGCCTGGTTCATATCTACACAGTAGATGAGAGTTAACACTGAACACGTACATATGCTAGTTATTATGTCCTTTGTAAATGTTCTTATTTAATTCTCACTGCCTTATAAAGAAAAGTAGGTCCACTTTTATTGCCACTGTACAAATAAGATTAATTTGCCTAAGATCACACAGCTAGAATTGAAATTCACATCCGAGTCCAGAGTCTATTTTATGCTGCATTTCTAAAACACGAACTTTTTCACCCAAGTGTGATAAAAGTTGAAGGCAGAAACCGGACCATTTTCATCTTTGCCTACCACGCAAGAAGCAGAAAGGAGAAAGGAATGGCAGAAATAAGTTACTGCAGCAATTAAAAGAAGTTATGGTACACCAAGAGTCAACTAATATAAATGGTTTAAGAGTGTGAATGCTGACATTTGTGCTTTAACCTTAGAAAAATTACTTCGCATCTGTGCCTTCACTTCCCCAACTTTAAAATTCCCCAATAACTTAATGTTTTAAAGATTGTAAAGATTAAATAAGTGAATACATGTACAAGGCATGTAAAGGGCTTAAAAAGTTCAAAATGAGGGCTTGATATTAGCTCTTACTACTATGAAAATTAAAAAAAAAAGGATGGCAGATACTCTGACAGCTTCTCCCCTTTTTTGGTGAGGGGATAAGGAGAGGTATCAGTTTTAAAACATTAATCTCCATATTAGACTTTCAAAATATCAGAGTGCTCTGCTGCAGGTGTGTGATTAATAGAACAGCAAAGCAGGTAAGGGAGGGGAACGGAAGGAATGAACTCAATATAGACCTTTCTGTATCTTCTAAACTTTATATTATATATAGTACATTAAGTTAAAATGTTCAAAAACAGTATAGTAATCATAATCTAATCTTAACATTTTATTTAAGCAAGCAGGTAAATAGATTCATTACCAAAGGCTTTGGAAAAATTCGTGTTTTTAAAAACAGATTTTCAAATCAACCTGGAGTATCAAATCAACCAGACTATCATGTGTCCGTGTCAAAAGGGGACTGAGGTTAGAGGTACGATCCCTGCTGCCATCCTCTTCATGCAATGAGAAAGGCCAAGGAAAGCATAAGCAGGGACACAGATCAGTTGTAAGGAAATTTCATTACATCAGATAGCAGGTAGCCGAAAATAAGGAGCTGAAGGTTAAATGGACACTGGAGCAAGCTTTTTAGACAAAGTTTGATCCGTTTAATAGTACCCACCAACTAAAGTTATAACAGAATGCCCACGTCTTTATGTTTTCAAAGGGGGAAAAGTGAATCTGAGTTTATTATTCAGCAAAATAAAAACACAAACATGCACAAGGCAAAAAACTATTGTGGCTTTCAAACCTGAAGTTACTTGCTAAATTACAAATACTTAGGGAAAAAAAAAAAATCAGATGCTGTCATTAACTTGTAATATTGTCATTAACACAATACATGAAGAGAACAGTGCAAATACAAAGGGGACCTCTTTAAGCCTCTTTAGAAATCTGGCTAAACCATTAGTTCGCCAAAATGCTTCCCTTCATAGTGTTTTTAATAATGGCCTCAAAGTAACTTACCAAGAGTATTTTTAACTGCTTGCTTTATACTGCCTTAAAATAGGCAAAATAGATTGCAAAAAAAAACAAAAACCTGGCCTAGTATAGTAGAAATAGAAAACCCAGTACTGGGTAGTTATGTAATTTTTCCATATATGTGCGAATGATCTAAATGACTCATTCAAGAATCTGTGGTTTGTGCTAAGAGCCATTCCTTCTTTTTATATTTAACTGCTCAAAACATAGCATGTATAAGAAATAAAATTTCCAAAATAGCTCAGAACAGCACATTACAAAACTGCAACTAAACCAGCACATTAAATGCACTGAGCAACAAGAAATAGGGCAAGATCATTCAGGAAATCAGAATACATAAAGGACTTTCATCTGAAGAAAATCTAAATGAAGGAGCATTTAAAATTTTGCTCTGGAAGAAAGGTGCAATACAGAATCTTTTCAAGGGATTCGTGGTACAAAGTAGCCGTAATTTTTTGGTATAATCAACCTTTGACAAGAAGCCTGCCAATTAACGCACACACATACAACCTCACGTATCCTTTGAAGTTCTAGAAATGGGCCAATTTTTACCAGTTCTCTCCTTAACGACACATGGATTTTTGTATAACTACTACCAGAACAGAAAGTCCATATATAAAGATTTACAACAGGATACAATTTTCTTTTCAGGCACTCCTCCTCCTTCCATCTACACAGTATGATCTCTGAACACTTTTGATCAAGTTCTCTGTCCAAAAAAAAGTAAACAGAGACAGTATGTACATTTATATTTGAAAGAGATGAGTTTCATCTCCTTATTTTTCAAGAAGAAATTGAGAACTGTCAAAATCACTCCTACCAGTTTAAAATGGTTCAACTACTTTGGCACCTTCTTTATAATCTGGCAATTCCACTCCCAAGTACTTACCTACAACAGTCTCATACAAGAATGTTTATAGCAGCTTTATTCATATTAGCCAAAATCTGCAATGACCCAAATATCCTGCATTGGAAATTGTATAAAATGGAATACTATTCAGCAAATAAACTACTGATACATGCAATAACATAATGCATTTCAAAAACTATTTTAAGCCAAAAAAGTTAGTCACAACCAAGTGCATACTGTATGATTCCATTTACATGAAGTTCAACAACAGGCAAAATACTCTATAAGACAGAAATCAGCACAGTGGTTGATGCTGGTAGGTGGTAACTGACTGGAATGGGATGTTAAGGGAATTTCTGGGGTGATAAAAATGGTCTATATAGTTTGACTAGGTTGTTGGTTACACTGGTATATGCAATGTTAAAACTCAAACTGTACATTTGGGATCTGTACATTTGTATATAATACCCCAATACATTAAAGATAAAAAATCACTCCTATTAAAATACTATTGATTTTGAATTAACGTACATCAAATCTATGTATTTACTTTGGGTAAGAGTGAACAATTTTTATCACTCTTCTTGGCTATGGGGATACTCTCTTTCCTCTAGGTCTTCCTTTAGACTTCCAAGTCTATGTATGTCACACTTAAGATTAGATTATTTTTTTTTTGTTGTTAAAAATCTCATTTTCTAACTAGTAATTGCTATAATATCTTATATGCTTCTATTCAACCACTTTCAACAGACTATTGTAAAAATGGCATGGGGTAGGTATCTGACCTTGTCTAACTTCCCATGGGGGAAGAAGAATCAAGAACAACAGCCCAAGGCTGATTCCTATGAGGCCGAGGTCAGACATATCTCCTCTTGCCAGCCCTTTTTACCAATTCTGACACCATCTGTCCTTCCCATGGCACACTCTACTTCTCTGCTGGGTTTGCTAATTTGTTGCAATGGCCACACAGAACCCACAGATAATACTCATGATTATAGGGTTTATTAGGGAAGTAACGGATTACAATTCAGGTTCAGGAATGCTCAGGATAGTTCTTCAATCAGGACAGCCTCTTCTCAGCCATGCAGGCATGCCTCTTTCTGGCCCTTCAGCCTCTGCCCTGCTCAGGCAAGTGTTACAAAGCTCTTTTAGCTCCGCTGGTAAGTGCCCCAAGGCACCCCACTCCCCCCAGTAAGTCTCAGCCAGAAAGCGCTCAGCTCTAGCTCCATAGGTTTGCAAGCCTAGCTCCACCAAGTGCTTGGAGGCACCCTACTCCACCAGCAAGCCTTCTGCCTGAACGTGC